AAGATATGATAACAACAAAGTGTAAAGCTTCAAATTTGTGTAATTATTTGCACATGATTTATTGTAAGAATGGGCTATGAAATACCCTTGTAAAAGTATTCTAAACTGTATAAAAAAATTGAAATCAATTATGAACATCCTTTCCTTATATAGGACTGTCTCTCCTGTTGCCACAAACCTTAATTTTAACCCTTTTTTGCTCACCAATCTCCACCAAATTTGAGACACAGATTTTTCAAGACTTATTCCTTCTTTTAGAAAAAAATTAGGAGAGGTTATTAATAAAATAGAAAAAAATCTTGGTGCTAAAGTTTATCAACCAAAATACCGCATTTGGAAATTAATTATCTATTTTTGGTTATGACTCCTGATAATCTCCTGCCCACGATTTTTTCCTTTTTGTGTATTGATATCAAAATTTAGCATGTTTTTTGGAGTTTTTTGCCATTTTCACTAAACTTTAATAAACAAAAATCCACATAAAACTATACCTAAATGAAAACTTACAATATTTTGCATCTTTTCAACCACTCATCAGGTTTGTAAAAGTAATATTGGTAAAAAATCTTAGCTTTGAAGTAAAAAGTAATGCTGTTTTTGAATAAATATAGCTTGACATAGAGAGCCTCTATAAATATGGGAGAGGGCTCATTAGAAATCTATGATGTCATAGTTTTATCTTTGATTAATAATGATGTTTGAATTTGTTATAAAAATAATGAGATATTTTAAAAAACTGATTTGTTACATGAGTCAGATTTTCTATTTTATATATGTAATTACACCTCCTGTGACATATCATTTGACTGTTATTATAAAAAAAAATTTAGTTGATTAAAGAAAATTTTGAGCAACTAGTAGTTGACTAAGGATTTTTTGGATGATTCCAACCTCTAATAAACAAACCATTATATGATTAAGACAAAACATGAATGATGTATGAAAAAATCAAATTTATTTAATAAAACAATTTACCAAAAAAATGTTTTTTTGCTGCACCATCTATTGCTGATGCGATGTTACCCAGATCATCATCAACTGTACTTTCAATATTTTCAATATTTTCAATAAACTCATTTTCGTTTAATCTTTTTGTCATACTTTCTTTTAGTGCATTGAGTTTTTTTTTAATTTTACTTGAAGATATCAAACATTTAGATTGGCACCTTTGTAGACAATGATTGTGATAACCATGTCCACGCACAAGTACACTACAATTATTCAAATTAGTATAGTTAGTGTAATCACAATATATGCAATCGCAAAAATGTTTGTAGATGGTTTCCTAGAAATAACAAAGCCTCTTGGAAGGTGACATTCAGTTATTTTGTAAACTAAAGAAGGGAATTTGTATGAGTTAATATCATTAGATGAAGTTTTAGTAATCAAAGGATGCTGATTTCATGCTTGATATATCTTTGTAAACACATCTAAAGGCAATACAACACACTTTCGGGAAAGCATATGCAATTGCTTTGATGTATATGGATATTTTATAGAATCTATGAAATGTTGTCAAAAAGTATTATCCTTTCAATGCTGAAAAATAAAACATGCCTCCTTTTTTAGTTGTTGTGCAGTGAAAAAATTAGCTGTATGTCATCAAATAATGCTGTGAATAATTTTTACAGAATTATCACTTAAAGAGGCAAGATAATTAGTAACCATATCAATCATTGGATGATTTGTCTCCATCCAATAAAAGAAATCAGAAAAAAGATTAAAGATGCACACTTATAATTTCTTTGATCAAACTGAAGAAAAAGATCATTCCAGCAACTTATAAGCCAGCCAATTAAGTAAAAAATTATTTCTAAGAAAAATGAAGCATGGCCATCTTGAACAGAATTGGTATCTTCATTATTTTCATGACTTCCCTACACAAAGTTTAGATACTTAAAATGCACTTAAAATATACATCATATACTTAAAATATACTTAAAATATACCAA